CATGTGTAGGGGAGCATGTCTGACTGCTGTGCTTTTTAGGAAAACAAAGGTAGTTAAGTCACACAATACTCGCATAGATAACCACTGAAATCTTAACAAGTGGCTACAGATACAAAGGTAGGTACTTGAATTTAAAACATGCCAATAAACACGTGGCAGTTTCTTCTTGATTTAAAGCAAATGAAAACTGTTCTTTTTAAAGATGAATTTTGTATTCCTACTACTACAGTAAGATGTAGTGCCTCCCTTTTCGGTTCAAGCTAGCAATACGTGATTATTGTTACATTTACTCCATAATGGTATATAGACTACTGTCTGTCTTGTTGGTGTTCGTTTTAGTGAGAGTAATTTTTTAAAGATATGTAATGCTGGTTTCTGTCAATTCACAATAAATGCTCGTTTTGCTGTAACTTGCTAATGTAAAATTAAAAGGAGAAAATTCCCCATATATAAATTAATATCTCTTAATTTAATGCATTTATTATTGCTTTTGGTGCTGTTTTCTAAGGTTCTGTGGGCTTAGTTCTTTTTCTTGTTGGTGTTGCTTCAGTTGGAGAAAAATATTTAGAAGGTAATTTTCTGCAGTCTGTAATTACAAGGCATCTCTCATCATGCATGTTGTCTTGCAGTGACTCAGAACTTCTTGTCAGTCCTGCTCTGAGTTGCTGCTGACCTTTCCAGAAAAGGAGAGTAAGTGATGATACTGATACAGGAAGCTTTCTGGTAGCCACCTGGTGTGTCAGTGAGAGCAAAACACCGCTGCAGAGGAGGGAGTTCTTAGTTCAGACTGCCAGGGGCTATTTTTGTCATTATCCTGTGTTTCTGCAATTTGAGGAGCTGAAGCTGTCGCTCTGCCCAACTGATGCGTGTTGGCTAAGTACCTTTTCCTTGCCTCTCCACAAAACCTCTTGATTGTGCTGTTAACTTCACAAGGTAATACGGAGGCATTTCTGAATATTGTTAACTGATATTGAATATTGTGCCATTGGAAAACGGAGGGGCATTGTGTTTGATGCTGATACTTGGAAGCTAAGTTTGCTGAAGCTAGGGAGTTGATTAGAGAAGCGTGTGCACCAGCCTGAATTGCTCCTTTGGCCTACATAAGTTACCTTTGAAGCTACCTAACAGAGTGGTTATAGAGGTCTGGTGATGAAGGAAGACTCAAAAAAACCCCAAAATGAGTGACAAGTGTGTCGATCCAAATATGAATGGGTTTGCTCCACATTAAAGAGTAATGGGGTATGTTCATTTTTATGTGTCTCTAGAACTTCCATTATGTTACTATTGTGTAGTTTGGAAGTCTGTGAGTTTAAAGACCTGTGTTTAGAAAATGGCATGCTTCCCTCGGAGTGTTTGATCTGCTCAGGTGTGCTCTGTACAGTAAGCAGTGCAGAAACCAGCATGCATTTGTTTTGAGGAGCTTCAAGACTATTAAAAGAGAGCACAGAATGCTTTTTGGCAGATCCAGAGGCAGGTGGTGGTGGTGGTTGTAAATGGGCGTTTAAGAGGAGGGGAGACAAATACATAAAGTAGAAATTGTACCAGAACTGAAAATGGTTTTTAATCAGTGCTGTCACGTAAAATGCTACATACAGATGTCTGCTAGCTCTGACTAGAGTGCAGTCTTCTCATGCGCTTCAGTTTCTGAAAGTGCTGCTGAATTTGGAGGCAGAGGAGCTAGAGGCATTGGCAAGGCTGGAGCGTCACAGTCTGCATCAGTTGCTGCGTGTGATGTGCCACACCTTCAGCAGTGTTGTGCAAATCATGTCATTATGAAAAGCACCCTGGAACAGCTCAGATGTGGTTTTTCTCAGCAGCTTGTCATAGTCTCGTCAAACCCCAGGGAGCCAGGCCTCACCTCAGAGAGATTGCAATCTTCCAAACACACCTAAGCAAGTCTGGAGAGTTTTTCCAACTTTTTCCCTGCATGGTTGAGGATTCATTACGTGTTCTCAGTGGGTACATTGATGGTTCAATGTAGAATTTGAGTTTATTTTGTCAGAAGAACAGCTGCAGGCAGGTAGGATTGTGTCTGCTGAACTCAAGATGTGATCTGGGCTTTTTGTTTTTTAAAGGGGAATTAGCTTGCTTCTGAAGTATGCTTCAAGCTTGCTTTTCAGATCACTCTCACTTGAATACTATTTCTTAAATTACATAAGGTTGTTAAATATTGAAGAGCAATTCTGGCTGAAGACTGGTGTTTTCTGCAAAAGCTAAATATGTTTGGCTGGCATCTGTTTCTTGCAGTCTAACTGCTGTTGAATAAGGGCTGTAACTTCGCTGTTGGCCAGAAACATACATTGTGGCATCTGCAAATGACGCAGGGACCATAAAAAGTACAGAGGAGAGCTTGCACCAGGAAGCTGCCTGAGGCCTAGTAAATGATGGTTATGGTGGAGAGCCACATGATGTATTAATGCCGTTTTTTCTGTGTTTAAAGTAATTTGATAAATAACTTATGCAACCCAGTTCAGAATAACCCTGAACATCACCAGATGCTTTATTTATCAATGTTTTGGGCTGAGTAGGAGAACTTTGAAGAACATGACTGTACTGGTCAGACTGCTTTCGATGGTTTTTTCACGTTTTGGTTTTGTTTTCTCAGTTAAATCAGTTACACTGTTCTCTTTTCGCTGGAGCAGGGAACAGCGTTCTGCCAAGATTTTTTGGCACTGGACTGTTGCAGTCAGTGCCAGAACAAACATACTGTAAAAGCTCAGGTACACAAACTTTAACCCTCTTTGCTTTCCTTTTAATCTCTCCTTGGTAGTGTTTCTTCTCCATCTCCATGACTGTTTGTCTCTCCATTTGCTTTTTCTTTTCTTATTACTAGAGGTCCTAATTTTCTCTTTCCTCTCATACTTCTGGTACTTGATGTAGTAAGGAGGTATTGTGGTGTGTGAAAGAGGCTCGTGTGCATGGCAGACTCTGGATTTATCCATGGATTAGTGCATATCTCATTACAGCTGGTTTAAATGTAAGCAGGCTGATTTTCACCTACCTTTCCCAAGACCTTCAAGATGTACAGGTGTTAAGATCAAGGTATTACACTTTGGTTTTCTGATTGCTGCAAGGTGCTAATGCCCACAGAGCTAGACTAGTTATTTTTTTTTTGTCGCAGCTGTGTCTGGGTTCATAAAGTTTCAGACCCAATTGGGAGTGAAATTAAGTTTTGATCAGTGCTACTTGTATCATTTAGTAACCTCTTCATGTTTTGCTTCCTGTTTTAACAAACGCTCATTGCCTAGGTAAAATGTGGTTAAAGGCCATTAATTAAAATACTCCATGGAGCTTAGAAAGTGCAACTTAATCAGAAGTTTAGCTCTGAAAGCCAGTTGAGGCTTTTCTGATTAGTATTTTAAGATGATTGAAGGAAACAGTTTTTATTGTAGAGTGAATTAACATTATACCTGGTAAAATATTTATTGCTTTATGGTGTCCTTGTTACATGGGAGTAGTGTAAGATTTTGTGTCGGTAATGGTTTGTTTCCTTGATTGTAAGAGGGTGTTTTAAACTGTACATGACAAGATGAATACACTTCTCATTCAGCAGTCTGAACTGGTATGCCAGCTCACCCCCCAATCCTAAAAGCAGATAGCTTTTCAACTTTCAGGTGGCATGGTACATTCAGGCTTGGTGTATGGTCCTTACCAACACCAAACAGGCAGATAGATACTGATTTTTCAAGGTAATTTGTAGGTCCATCATGTAGGATTCTGTGTGAATGTGAGTGTCTGCCTGTCCGTGGCCAAATACACGTTCTTTTTCTCAAGATAGCCATGACCCTTTTAAACATTCAGTTCATGAGTTTTTCATTTGATAACGTTTTTGTCCACTGAGCACTTGATTTCTTTCTTTCTTCTTCTCAGGGATGGTTAGCAATGTGTCTTTCGCTAGTATTGAGGAAGTAGGAAAGAAATAGTGGGGACTACAAATAGTTAATTACTAGGTTATATAAAGAAAGTAAGAAATCTCCTTGCTGTCTTTCCCCTCTTTTCCCTCCCATTTCCAGCTTGAATGCTTTGACCTGCAACTGATCAATGACTCAAGAAGATTCCTTTCCTTAAGGGTTTAGAATCTACATTACACTGTTGGCTTTGTGTTTTTTCTGGCTGCTGTTTGAAAATGAGGTTTTGTGTGTCTCACTCTAACATAAAGATTGAATAACTTTTTTTTGGCATGCTACCACTGTAATGAGGAACAGTATCTTGTGAGGGCTAAACCCAAAACATTTAATTTTTAAATATGTGAAGATATATGTGTGTGTGTGTGTATGTATTTAAATTTAGTTGTTAATTATCAAAGTAGCCAAACAACTAGAAATTGGTTTTGGAATGTAAAGGAGAATAGTTTTTTTAAAAATGCTTTTTGGCCATGATTGTTTAGTAGAATAATGCAAGTTTTCTTACTGTTGCTGTCAGGTAGGGTGCGATCGATGTAGGATGTGCAGGAAGATCAACTGCTGGCATTTCTTGACCTGAAGTTTGAGTTGACATATAGAAAGACTAAATTGCCCCAGAATCCGTCAGTATTATAGCCTGAGAGCTAAGCACCTATGTGTGTGGTTGGAAGTGCTAAGTGACCTTCTTCTTTACCGTATAAAAGCAGCAGCACAGCATGGTCTAGTGTCTTTGTGTATGGCTGCTGTAGGTGATCTGACTTTGGTTTTGCACCTTACCCCCCACCCCCAGTTCGTTTAACCACTTCCTCAGGAGCTGATGTGTCTGACACTGGTTGAAAGAAGTTTTTCTTACCTCCTTGTCTGCTTTTCCACTACTGGGTTAAGAATATAGGCAAATAGAAAGCCCATGCATTTTTAACTTCAGAGTTTTCAGTGTGGAATTCTGGTTGCATAATCCAAATACCAAACTGTAAACCAGTGTGGTTGAGTGTAAGCGGGGAGGTGAATTACATGCAGATGAAGCTAATCACATTGTTCTCTGACAAACATTCTTCAGTGTTAGGAATGTGTTGGGGACTTCAGTGACCTATTTGTTCTATGAAAAATTGTTCACTTAACCGTGTGTTATGTTCTTACTCAGTTGTTGTTCAGTATGTCTGAATTATATATGGTTTTCTGTTGAAATAGAAGGGTTCATTGTAACTGTCCGTGAAATTTCTTATATGAGGCTGAGCAATACTTTTATTTAGTGACAAAGAAGAGGAAACCACATGTACCATTACTCATGAGTGCATATATTAGTTGATTTCGTAAGTTCTCTCACTATCACTAAATGACTTATTTGTTTTCTCAATAAAAGCTTAATCTTTCTGGCTTTGGCTGGAAGATAATAGCGGAAGAAATAACTTGGTTTTTTTCCATAGCTCTAAGTTAGGGTTGTTTATTTGTTTCTTTCTTTAAATGTTCTTCAGAGTCTATCTGAATTCTCGTACATTTGAATGTGTTTTGAGTCAGGCTAAGACTTGATACCGTTGAGACTTCTATTCACTGTGCATCTCTGTTATGAGGGTATGAAACACTGAAAGAATGGTTAATGTTTTTGTATTGGTAGTAATGCTTACTAGGAAACTCGCTTCCTTGTAACTTCTCTTGCTTTGATTTAAATGTAATTTAAATTTGATCTTTTCTTTACCTTTTCCTCTAGTTCATGGGTATTAGCTGATTTTAAAACAAAACATTTGAAATAGTGTAATTAAACCCCATTTCCCCTTCTGTCTGGTTTCATTTTGACTAGGATGCTGTTTTTCTAAAAGAGCCAATGCGATGTCTAACAAAAGAAACTTGTGTAAAATACTGTAAAATAGAATATTTATTTTTCTAGTATCAAACACTTTAGAATTCAGTCTATTCATGAACCTTTTGTAATGGGGCTGAGGATAGGATAGAAAGGAGAGCTTTATGTGACATGAAGTTTGAAAACAAATGGGAATACTCTTTAAACTAAAACCTAAAGAGTAAACCAGCTGGCTTGAAAGTAAGGTGTAGAACATGTCTAGTTTCCAAAGCCTGTAATGTTCCTTTCTCCTGCATTCTCTGTCTAGAATGAGGCTTTAGCCTACTCAAAGGTTTAAAAAATACCCTTGTAACATTTGCTTCCCTTTCCAGTCACCTGGTTTTCATTATAGTTACTCATCTGGAATTAACTAGCCTTAAGTTCTTAAAATGCAGAGCAGATACTTTTACCACATGTGTATACAGTTTAAACACACCACTCCCCCTCCTCCCTGCCCAAAATAAAACCCCAAACTAAAACAAAAAAAACCCCAAACAGTCAACAACCACAGATGTTTAACTCAGTATGTAAGTTCTGGAACCTACTCCTAGATTATAAAATAATGTTAGCATTCTGCTTCAACTTAGTGCACTTCTGTGGATGTGAGTGCTGGCTCTGCCTTGTGATTTTACCAACATCTTTAGTTTAGATCCTCGTTTCAGTATTTTTGATTCCTCCTGACTGTAAACAGACAATAGGGTCAGATAATAATGAAGCTTGCATGTGTACTTGTGGCAACTGCCTTTTTAAATATACAATTAAATGTGAAGTCAAAAACTGGGAACACGATCAGCTGTGTTATTAATACGTGAGTGCTTAGTACTAAGTAATTTGTATGGCTTGGTAGGAAATTTTACATGCTGCCTGGGAAAATATTGACTAACCTTAGAGGACACCTGTATTTTTTTTAGGTAAATAACGTGGGGGTTTTTCCATGCCAGAGTGTCCAATTATGCACGTATCCAGATGTCCTGCAGTCTTGACTGATGTTCTGTGATGAGGAAGACTTCTTATTTTTGGCCTGATAAGCTATTGTATATGCTGGTTTAAAACAGAGTTTATGGGCCAGATTTTTTAAGAGTGCACATGGCTCTGTAATGTTGTGATTTGGACAGTTCATTTTAAGTGGGAAATCCTTGGTTTCAGTCTCAGTTCTGATGACTGAATGTTTCGTCTGGTAGATTTTGAATACAGAATGCATCAGTGTTCATTGCTGTGGAGACTACAGCCTAGGTAAAAGCTGTAAATGCCAGGCTTGCTGAAAGTTACACTCTCTCTTGCTTTGTCTCACCTTTCCCCTGGCTAACTACTTATTCATGGGAAGTGCCATCATTAACAGAATGAATAGTCAGTCCTCCCTCAGCACTTCACAGTCTAGTAGGAAGGTCTTCCAAGGGTAGGAGGTGTGTGCATTAAACCTGAGGCATTCACATCTTGAACAAATGGGGATTGCATCGAGAAAACTCCTTCATTCAGTCTTTGAACTGACTTTGTGTCTGCTATACAGGCTGCATGCTATACATGTGTGGCATATATGTTTGTCACCACGTACTTCTGTTTGTGGGACAGTTTGCTCAGCACAGTATCAGTGCTGTATACCAGTGCAGCCACAACTATGTAAACCTCATTCCTTGTGCAGATGCCGAGTACAGTTACAGTGGCCTTTTCCAGTTTAGCTTATATCAGTATAGCTGACATGCTGTGTCAACATGAATGGAACTGAAGAAAGGTCACTTAGTCCAAATACGTGTCTGTGCCAGTCATTATGTCATCTTAATTTAACCATATGATTGCACAAGGAAGATAGTAGTGTTGGTACAGCTCCTGTTGAGAACAAAGTCCAGTTTGTTTATAAAGACTGTAGAGACTATTGGAAATAGTTTAATGACCCTAATCTCGTTTCCACCCAATGTGCTCTTAACAGAAAGACCAAAGTATTGCTCTTACTGTGCTGATACTTTGAGGCCTTTTCTTTGGTGATGTAATAAAGGACTATTTTAAAACTTGGATGTAAGCACAGTTGTGTAGCAGCTATGACCTCAGGTCACCCATGCTCCTGTGACAGTCGTTGCCAGCTTGCATTGGTCACATGGCTGCGTCCTGCCAAATCTCTGGTGGACACTGGAGCTTGCAGGTTTCTTAACTTGGCTGCCTGACAGAAACTGCTTCCTGTTTCTCTCTTCCTCTTCCTGCTGCTTTTTTCTGTTGCCAGTTTCTAAATCATGCAGTGTGCCATCTAAACAAAACTCTTGGTTTCACAGGTGATTTGTGTACTGCTCTGTAGCTGTAACTTTCCTACAGTAGAGATCTGCAGTTATGTTCTGTGAGGAATACAGTGTTTGCCAGGAGCATTCATACTTTACAAGACTGCAGCTGGAGTCAGTTTTCAGTAAGAAAATAAGAATTCAAGATTCAGAAGTACTTATTTGCGCGATCATGAGGGTGGGGTGGTTGCGGCTCCTGTGATGACAGTGCCAAACTGATTAGCCATATCTTGCTCATTCTGCTTGGCATAACTCGATGAACATCATCAGGATGATTTACAGAAAGCAGAAGCTGCAGGGACATCTCTGAATGATCCCATAGTTATGTGTGAGTCTGTATGTAATGGTGTTTAATTGTTTGCTCGCTTGGGGATGGATTGATACACCTCTTCGTGTACAGAGAACTTTGGAGGATGTATAACAAATGAGTGTTCAGATTTCACTTGGATAAATTGTTCTGTAAAAGACAGCATTTCCCCTTCATATTACATGATGCAAAATGTTTCTGAATTTCTGAATAAGCTGATATTTATGGCAAATGGCAAATAACTTACTGCTTCAGATAACATTCCAGATCTGCTTTCCTTTTCCTTAGGACATGTTAGTATCATTTTTGCCGAATCATTTGAAGCTATTCTAAAAATACAGCAAAATGTGGCAGTTGGTCACTGTTGCAGTAGGCACTCCAGTTCAAGGTGAGAAAGCAGCCAGTGTTCCTCAGCCTGTGTACCAAGAAATGAGGTGCAACAAACACAGGTTATTATTTTTTAATGTTGTGAAGTTTGTTGAACGTAACCTTATTCCAAAGCAAGGGCTGCTAATGTAATGCACCCCTCCTTCTTCTTTTTTTAAATAACACTAAAAAAACCCAACCCCCCCAAATTCCAGTTGGAAGACTAGATTATTGAGGGAAGGCATAGGTGCCTTTGTAGGATGGGTTTGAGAGTTTTTCCTCACAATTCAGTGTTAACTGTCTGACCTGAAAGTCCTCAACACCCAAATCTGTTTGAAGGGCCAGGTTTCAGGGCTGTGTAATATGCTTTGAATTGAGAAGGGGTTTAGTATGGATCTGTGTCTCTTGTTTCTGGTCTACTTTTCAGCCTAGTGCTTTCCTGTCAGTACTACATCTGAAAGAACTAATGTGCACTTTCTTTACAGATGAAGCCAACCTGTCTACCTTTAAGCAGTTCAGGGCGGTGACTGCATTTTGGCTGAGCATTCCATGGTGACTGTCCTTTTAGGGTCCTGAGTAATGCCTGAAGTTCCTGGCTTAGTTTAATGTATTAATAGTAAGGAACAGACAGTCACTGCCTCAAGATCTGAATTGAGGAATACCTGGAAAGCCAAGCTTTGGTGCACGTATCTACTGAGCCAACCTCAGAGAAAGACAGAAAGCAATCTTTAGCAAACTTTAAAAAATCAATGGTGTAATCCCTCAGAACAGAGCAACTGTAGGTCAGAAATTTAATACTGGCTTCTGTTTAATCTTAGTGGGAGTCACTTCCATGTTATTTGAGTTCTTTGTGGGAGGAGATGTTTGTGCAGAAGATAAACCACACATTTCTAATGTGATGCAATTGGAGCAAAGTTCTTCCTAAAAGTTAAAGCAAACAAATGAGCCATCTTTTCCTGTTCCCTGGTAGGAAAGATGGAAAAGTTTAGTGGATGCTATTTTTTTTGGCATCGTGCAGAGCTGGTGGACTTGTTTGCTGCTTTGTACAGAACTCTGCAGAATGAGCACTACTTGCGTATCATTCCACGCTTGACAAGCAAGCAGTGCAGGTATTTAAAATGTCTGAATGTGAAATTGTAATAGTTTGGTAGGTGTGGAAAGTAAGAATAATAGTCTGCATTGCAGCGCTTTGACCTCTGCTTGTGAACCAGTTCTGCCCACCGATGATAACATAGTGAAAGCAAAAATGTTACTTCAAAGTGGGAGTTATCTCCTGGGATTTTAATGCTAGAAAGACTATTTTGTGTTCCTGGCAAGAGAAATGTGAAGTAGTGGTTTGTTCATGTAGCACTTAATCTGTGTTTAAGTGCATGGATGATTTCGGTTTCTGTTCCCTTCTGCTAAGTTTTTTTGTAATGCAGGAAAATAAAATTGTATCAGGGTAGATGGGTAGTCCCTACAGCCACCATCAGTGAAACGTGGGCTGTTTAAGGTCTTCCCTTGCTCTTCTGTTTGCCAGTGCCAAATGTTGGTTTTCTCAATAACATTTTGGTCAAATTCGACAAACTTCTTTGATTTTTCTAACTTGAAATGGAAGCCAAAACAGTTCTGCCTAACTGCCCTCCTATCTATTGCCAGATTACAGTCACAGCTGGGGGAACCCCTCAACTTTAGAAATAGGAACAGTTGGTTTTGGAAAACCAAACCCAGAAAACTGAGCCATGTGAGAAAATGTGTTTCTCAAGTCACGTAATAATTGCAGCAGTTGAAGAAAACAATTCTGGAGTCTTTGGTAAAGAGTTTCAAGTAATTGCTTCAAATGGTATTTCTGTGGAATGTGGAATTTCTGTGTTGTGTTTCAAAATCAAGCAGAGCTCGTGTGGATGCGGTACAAACACAAAGATATTTTTTTCATGGAAACTAACAGGTAAACGTGTCACCTGCAACTAAAACTCAAGCCAGGAGAAGGCTCATGTGCTTTCCTGTCAATAGCTCTTCAGTCTGTTGGTTTAGTCCCTAATAGAGGTTAATGAACATGACTGACTATTTTATATAACTGTGCTGCTAAGGTGGAGTCAGCAGAGCTATTGATAGCACTCGGCATGTGTTACACAACTGTAATACTGGAGCCAACTCATTTGACACTGTTTTTCTTTTTTCTTTTTTTTTTTTTTAATCTTTTCTAGTGTGCCGGTCAAATAAAAGCCCGTGGGTCTGTCTGACGTGCTCCAGTGTCCATTGTGGAAGGTGGGTATGAGGTGTTAGTGGGCAAATCTTTTAATCAGACCTTTATCTTTTTTCTTCTGTTGCTTGACTCCGAGGGACTTCCTTTGGAAATTTCCTGAATGCCCTATACTTCCCTGAAATAAACCTTTTGTGATCTCGTGTCACATTATATTTATACTAATCATGCTTCTTTGCTACCTTATGAGAGTCCAGAGGTGACACTCAACATGGTTTTTTTCCCAAAAGAAAAGTGGATGGTGAACGTGGTTGCTCAGCTCAAAAAGCACCTGGAGAGCTGCTGCTGCAGTGGGTTGTTGTATAGCTCCACTCTGTGAAAGATGCTTCTGTTGTAATCAGATGAAACCAGTAAGAATTCTTGGAAACCCACAAACCCAGAGCTGGCACATGTTGTTTTGTGAAAAAGCAGCAGAGCATTTCTGGTGGGAGCACGGCTTTCTAAACCTGGCGTTTGCACTGGTAGGCAGAAAACCAACTCCTGCAGCACAAGGGTCTCATTTGCGCTGTGACATAGCTGCCGTGGGATTCTGCCAGCACAGCAGTGTTGGTAGCCCTGTGGCTGCAGTGCCTTAACCAGCACAGCTGTGTTAGCAGAGCTGCTTACGTCTGCATGTGAGAGCAAGCATAGAACATGAAGACTTTCGTGTGGAGCACGTACAGAGTTCCTGTCCATTAGTGTTGCTGAGTTCAACAAGAAAGAAATGGGGGAGAAGGGAATTGCCCAAGGTGTGGCCACGCACTCCTGAGTGTCTGTGATTTTCAGCTGATTCTTGGGTTTATTACACCTGTAATTGCACTTTTTTTATTAAAGATGCTTAATTTTCTAGATCTCAAATTTTGAGCATGACAGTGCTCACTCTGTCAGCAAAAGAGCTGTAGGTTTTTAGGTTTCTTTTTCAGTTATGTGATCCCAAGCTCTAGAGCCTTCCAAATTCTTGATCTTTATAAAATGTAGAATGGTCTAATATTAAATTGTGCTATAGAATGGGAAAGCTTAAAATAGTTGTGCTTTCATATGGGGGTCAGCAGACTGTTAAAGGGATCACAAGCATGATGAGTGCTGTGTGGAGAATAAAACAGAACTGTAAGGAAGGTAGATGGGGAAAGCAAGATGGAGAACTAACCACATTAAAGCTATGTAAAAAGGGAGCTGATGATTTTCTCAGTTGTGAAGTTGCATCAGTTTGTTAAGGGCCCAGATCCCGGGGTTTGTACAAGGATGCCAGGTTGTAGTTGCTGCGAAGGAGCTGGAAAGATTAATTTGGACATCATGGGAGAGTAAAGAGGTAAAAAGGTAGAAAACGTAACCAGGGTTTTCACACAGGTGAATTGCCTATTTTAATGCCTGTGTAAATATTGGATGCTTATTAGGCTGCCTTTTTTCTCTCATTATTTTCTATGAATGTTGGTTAAGTAACTGTTTAAAAGTACGAGACTTTTGTTTGTTTTTCATTTATTTTAGATACGTGAATGGCCATGCAAAAAAGCATTATGAAGATGCACAAATTCCTATGACCCATCATAAGAAAACAGAAAAACAAGAGAAAGTTCAGCATACTGTGTGTATGGATTGCAGTAGTTACAGTACATACTGGTAAGGGTTTAAGCACTGTGATTTGACAACATTTTACATGCTGAAGGTGAAAACTTGAGACTCCTGTGAAGTATATTGCATTACACACATTTTTGAGCACTTAATTTCTTGATTTCCAGACCTGGCTGTTTAAAAACAGTTATGAAACAACCCTCTGCTTTTTTGCAAGTGTATCGTAGCACTGGTTGCAGCTAAACCCCTGCATTTCAAATGGTTTAGCAGAAGGTTTTTGAAATAAATGCTATTTATGTGGTTTGGAGTTGCTTCTGTTTGCTTTGGGGCGTATTTAATTGCAAAAGCTGCTGCTTCGTTATAGTTAACTCCTTCCATCAAATGGGTGCGCCTTTTACATATCCTTTATTTGTCAGAGTATCAGAAAGTAAAGTAATACTCTGTAGTTCCTGCCCAAGAGATGTGACCTTGAGGTGTGTATGTGTGTGTTCCGTTTGGGGTTTTTTTTTTCCAGTATTATTTTTTTCTCACTTCAGAAGAAAGGAAATTTAATGCAACCTGTGTGAGTTTAAGAAAGTGATGGATCCTGTTGGGAAGCAGCATCAAGTCTCTGGCAAGATTAAGTAGCAGAATCACGGAAGTGATTCATTCTACGAGCTTCTTACACTGGGGTATGAGCGCTGTTTAGGGAGGTTTAAGAGTTATGCTGGTAATATTGGGTTCTTTTTCTTCCTTGTTCCTTGGAGAGCAAAGACTGGAAGTGTATTGAAAGCAATGCTTTTATGCATTCAGCATCTTCCATCCTCTTCATCCCATAGCAAAACTGTTGACAGCTGCTTCCCCATTTCCTGTTAGCTTCATGGTTTCCAATGTATGTCGTTACTTGTGTGGTGCAGCAGTGCAGAGTGAACAGGGCAAATCTTGGGAAAAGCGTGTTATGGTTTGTAAAATTACTGAGTATATAGCTCCACTGATGGGTATCTTTTGTGTATTTCATCAGGGGAAACATCTGCTTACTGGGAATCTAGTTTTATGAGGAATATTTCTTTAATGTATTTTTAGCCCCTGCAAGTGAAATCACAGTTACATGGTCTCACTTGAAGACATTTTGTTTGAAGCAACTCAAAAGAATTACTCAGATGGTGCGTGCAGCTGCACGGATGTTGAGCACAGGAGAAAGCTTTCAGTAGTTCTGTGATGTATGGGGATTTTGCTTCTATTTACATTTTGTTTAGATGACCAGCATTTTTTATCTGCTTCTGTGTGAAAACATAAGATTTTTCCAAGTGATACATATGCACACGTTACCAGCATTAGAACAGCTGTGGGAAGCTAATTCCACTCTTAATGCTGTTAACAGTTGAGTTCTGTGCTGTGGCTTTTTGTTTTGTTTGAAGTATGACCAATCTTCTAGTCACTCTGGAGGTAATAATGTGTGAAGGAGTTTTAGCCGGGTATTTGAAGTCTTGATTGCATCTCCATTTACTATGACAGATAGTATGCCCAACTTGCTGAAGCTTGGTGAGTTACGCTAGCAGGTTGGAGTACCCAGCCAGCCTTATCTCAAACATGATGTGGGCATTGCAAAATGACAGCCAAACTGAGGACTATGGGATCTGTTACTGAAAGAAACTATGCTTGTGAGGAGAGGTAGGCACACGTTTAGGAAGCCCACTGGTGTTTCACAGCGTATCTTTGGTAGGGCAGATGAGAAGCAGTTTAGCATGTGATGTCTTTTCTGCTGTAATCGAAGTAGAAGGCTGAGTCATCTCTGGATGAACTGGAATTGTAGAGAGCTTTGCCTTGGGGAGTTCCTGTTGTGTATAATTCACTAGCAAATTATAACTCTCCTGTGCTAATGTGAAGCTGAACAGGTTTCAAAAGCAGTGTATGTTTGCTTTCAATTAGGCTTTTTTTTTTTTTTTTAAATGATTATTATTTTTAATTGTTTTCCCCAGCTGGTGATCAGACAAAGCTACTTGGATTTGTTACTGCACCCGGTTTGTTCAGTGAAAATGAGCTTGGATGTGTGAAGATGAAGCAGAAAGCATTCAGACCAACTTCTGCCCCTTTATTTCAGACAGGACTCTGTGGGCTGCTGTCAAATAGTGCTTGCCAGTTAAAGCAAATAGTTGGGTGAATTCAAGTAGCGACTTGCTACTGTGGAGATTGAATTTTGAGACCTTACTTGTTAGCTGCTTCATTTTCTATAGGAATCCAGTATATGGTATGTTTATGCAGTGTTTCTTTTGAGTGAACTTTTGAAAGATCAGTATTTTATGCTTGCATTGTGGACAACCTCAATAATTTGGACATCAAGTAAATACCATCCTAAGACTTAATTGCATTTTACTTCTACTGAAAAAAAAACCAAGGGAGGTATTTTGATGCAGTGCTGGCTTTTATGTTTTGATTTGCAATTTTGTTTACTGCACAGAGTTGAGTAGAATGCTCTTGTTAATTGTCCGTGTTCCTTAGCTTGCATGATAGTAGCAGCAAAGAGGCCCTTTGGGCTCTTTTCTAAGCAGAAGGCATTTAATCCTTTGATTTTTCTTTGGCCATGTCATAAACTTTCATGCAGTCATGATAGCACAGCCCAGGGTTTGCCTTAGCTGTTCTTGTCAGTCCAAGGGGAAAAAATACTATGTGACTGTTGAAGCTACTGAGGCTTATTGAACCTTGCTGTAAACCGAAGCCAGATAAAGCCATCTGCTGTAACTGTATTTCAGCCTGGAAGGCTAGGTGTGCATGTTTTCCTTGATGACAACTTTTCAACATAGCTTTGAAAGAAAAATGTTGCTGTTCTGGTGGGAGGTGGTTAATTTTTATTTTTTTTAATCTGAGATAAGGCTTTTATTGTATTTATGAATTTGGTAATGTTTTGAAAAATAGTCATGCTTATCATTGTGTATTGGGAAACTAGGGAGGGTTTTGGTCTGTCTTCTGTGTGCTCCTATTTGCCTGTTCAGTCTTCAGAGTGGAAAAGTTGGGAGAACATTAGTCTTTGATTTATTCTGAAAGTACAACTCTCTTCTTGATTCTTTGGTTACTTTTGAGACGGTAGATGCAGTACTAAATTTTCAGCTTGAATTATGTTTGAGACCCTAAGCACTGAGAAAGAGATTCTCCAATGCTGCTTTTTGGAGGTAATCAGTCTTTCAGTTAGTTCTAAAGAGTTCACAGGAAGTACAGATCTGTTTTATCTTCAAATTGTCCTACAGTGCTTTCTCCTGCTGTGTTGGTGGTGGTTTTCCTATGTGCAGGAGGAAACCTGCTTTTAGAAATACCTTTGCTGAAAGAGGACTCTTGTGAATTTGTTTTCTCTGTGCTGGTGCACACACAACTGGTTAGCACAGAAGAAGAAAGGGTGCCTTGTTTATGTATTTGCATAATAGGTTTCCTGTGTTCATTTAATCCCAGACCCAACTTGCAGGTCAGATTTCTGACCCATTAACCCCCTTGTTATCTCTTAAAGGGACGTGGTTGTGCTCATGTGTGTGTGTCCCTGTGTTTGTCTGTTCATGTCCTATGTCCCCCCACAAGCTGATGTAAAAATAACTAAGTGTCAAGGACTTAAAACTTTCATTATTAGTCTGTCTGTTTGTGATGGTGGTTCTATGTAGAAAACAGACTTACTGTGCTACTGCATGAGCATCTGAAAATGAAATTGCTTAGGACCATTATTTGCATTCTACAGTCAGTGGAAATTAAAGAACATAAAAAGCCTTTTATCAAGACAATAAACTTGAGTTAGTTCACTCATGTATAGTGTTAGCACAACTAAGGAAACTTGGATTTTCTTATTTTTTCCTGTCCTGTAATTCTTCAAATCCAATGAGGACTTTTAAACATAGCATGGAGTTCTGTAACCTACTGAAACAGCCAGCACTAAGCGGAAGTGTTCCCCAGAGCAGTGCATACATTCACTGGCTTGCTGCCAGTTTAGCTGCAAAGGAGGCCAGATAAGACTAGGCCTTGGAGGTAGCAGAGGTGTTAAAAATAGAAAGTGTATAGAGAAAATACTGTGCTAACCCATACAAGGGACCCTTCCTGGAATACAGGATTTATTCTGTACAGTTGCTGTTAAAAGCATATTGTAGAACTGCTGTATGCAAAAAGGTGTATTGTTAATTTGTGATAATCCTGAGGATCACAAAAACCATCTATTTTGAATGTCAGCTTCACATACAGGAGGTAATGTCTCAGCAGTTTACCTTTAAGGGGTGTGGGCTGAGCAAATTTTAAGCTATCGAAGCATAAACTACTTCCTGTGCTGTTTACTGCTGTTATCCAAACCAGATTGGTAGTAGTGCTGTTATTTCTAGTGGTGGTGCTGACTCCTCAGTGTTGCAAGGGAGGTGGTTTAAAAACCCTGCCCATTAAAAAGAAAAAATATTGTCTTGTTTTAAATGAGTCTTAAATTTACTTTTCTGCTGTTACAAGGACCCTGACATTTAATGGTGTATTTGGTTTTATTCCTCCGTCTTGGGGAAAATGGTAACTTGCAATTTTATGTACATGTGAAACTGGTATGTGAGATCAGACTAAAACCAAGGTTAACACGGTCTTTAGGGCATGGGAGCAACTATTAAATAATCTTTCAGGAATAAGTTGGCTTAGAGGCTTTCAGTGACCTTGCATCTGCTTTCATTCCCTATTCATAAACATTTATAAATGTAATTGTGCTGGTATACCTGGGCGTGTGGACAGGCTTGGTGTAAAAGAGGGGTTGGACTGTACTGTATGTGCATGCACCGTATCTGCCTCTCAGCAGAGCTGGCCTGGATAGTTTGCTCTGACGATAGTCCTTGAGGTGTGGTGTCCTGTGGCAAAAGCAGGAACACTTCATTAGGTAATTGTAGGTGGCTGTTAAAGCTGAACAGGACTGCTTAAAACATGGCTGAAAAATAAGTACATTTACAGACTCGTTCTTTCTCCCAAACCAACTAGGTCTGTGGCAATCCTTAATAAAATAATAAAATCTCTTTCTGGCAATAGCTATTTTAATAATTTCAAAATCTTGTGGAAGTGTTTGGAAATCTTGAGAGGTGTATTAATTTCTCCTCTTGGAGGTAAAAATCAACAGCAATCCTGGACAGACTGGTCTGACAGACTCCTTTTGGTGGCAAGGGCCTTTTCCCAAGAATTCAGTGTTTAAATTAACACCAGCGTTACTGTTGCCTTTAAACTGCATCACAGATTAATGCAACAAAGCATGTTGTAAATACCAGTCGTGCCTGAAGTCGACAGCTTCATTAACTTCCAAAGCACGGACCTGCTCCGGCAGAGGAGTAACTGAGACGATGAGGATGTATTCCACATTTGAACCAGTCCTGTGCCAAAGGAAAGGGAGAGAAATAGCTGCAGTTCTGTTATATTTAAATATATCCAGAGCAAGTTAGTTTTCTTCACGGACAGTGTTGAGTTGCCTGCCACAATTTGAAGCTGCAGTTTGATGATCAGACAAGTAATGCAAGGGATTTGGAATATGGCAGGGCAGCAGAAGTTAATGCCACCTTGCAACAGTGGTTTCCTTCTGACAGTTTCCTTTACTACTGTCCACAAATTGATGCATGCACCATGGATTTACATGTACTCTGGAAAACAGTGAAATAAGGTGTGGGGGTTTTTAGCATTTCCTGGAAGACCCTACTTCCCCCTTTAGCAGTGTCTGCCTTGGTGCAGTGTATGAGGCCTTACAAGCCCACAGTTTGAATATTAAATTATAATGAACATCTTTGTTTCTTAGGAAATGCAAGATGTTTGTAGAATGTTGTTGCATTGTAGGCTTTTTTGTAACCCTTGCTTTTGCTGAGAGGCCATTTGGTTTTGGCTTTGCGTTTGCTTTCGGGCTTCGGGGGAATCAGCATTTCTCTGTTTTTCAGCTCAGTTACTTCCTTTTGCACTTACCCTGAAAATGCTCAAAGTACTACCTTAGGTTTTAGAAGAGTTTGTGTATATATAGAGACTGCATGAGAGATTGAGTGGTATTTGTGGTTAAAGCACGAGGTGCGAGTTGCGAGACTGGTGTCACTTTGGAGAAACCACCTAATCTCTTAGTTTGTCTTCCCTGGTCTTGTTTCTGTAGCAGAAACTTGCATTATGTATGTATCTGTTCAGCACCTTAAGCTTTAATGATAGCTTTATGGTATTATAATAAATTTATTTATGCTCTACATTAATAAAACCTTTGTATTCTGTTTACCTGCTGTCAGTTGATCTTTTCTGATAAATCTTGCATAGATTGGATACCAATGCTGCTTTTAGTTACACCCCGTGTTCGCATTCTTGCTAATCTGCAGTTCTGCATCGTGACAAGCAGTGCATCCTGCTTCTGATTTCTGATAAAAACACTGAGCTAGAAGAAAAACACATGTCCTAAGATGGTGCCTGTACCTTCCCTTGCTACAGAGTACTTCTCAGCGGGAACTAAGCTGAGTACATAGGTGCTGTGCTCCCCTGTTCCTGTCGTAATCTTCCCCTGAATCACTTCAATGCTTCCTGCCCATAGGCTTGCATGGCTGTTCTGGAGTACTTCACTGAAACCCTTTGCATGTTCTGATACATGTTTTTATTGCAGTTATCGCTGTGATGATTTTGTAGTCAATGATACCAAGCTGGGCCTCGTACAGAAGGTCAGAGAGCACCTACAGAACTTGGAAAAGTAAGTGGTTTGTTTACATCCAGACTGCAAGGGTGGCCTTGTAATACTGCATCATTTAAGTGGTATTTCTGGTTTATGTGTATGTGCATATTTAATATAGATATTCTGGTCTTTCTATGTGTGTATGTATGTTTAAATATCCTTTTAATCCTGGAGAAGCAGAGGTGCAGAACAAATGGATTTGATCTTGTTGCTTCTTTTTTTCATACAGTAAATCTTACAGAAGCTGTGTAAGGTGATACAGGAATTTAGATTTCTTGCTAACTAGCCAATAATTACTGAGTTTCTCCATATAAAAGGGAGAGAATATCCAGAACAGACTCAGTTTTTTCAAAAAAAGAATTAAGTGTTTGGAGGAGAGAAATTGAAGCAAAAATGCAGGTAAAAGCAGTCTTCCTCTTAATTGTGTAATTTTGTTTCCAAACCAAAAAGTGAAGAAGGCTTATGAACTTGTAATTGTACAGAAGAGACGTGTTTTTCTTCTGCCTTTATCTGGCACTGTTCCACTGCAAAGCAGATACTACAGTCTTTGTGGGGCAGATGCTGTGGCCAGTTTAGCAAATAGTCTTTTCACAGTTTGGTTTGAAATCTTACGTAAAACTAAGTAGAAGTACATCTGCATGCAGTGCTTGCAAATAGGTTTGACTGCCCCAGAGTTCAAACAGGACTCCTGCGAAGAAATTCCTGTGATTTTTGGGAAATCTCTGGATCCTTCCTGTGGTAAGCATGTCACTTACTCTGTAGGTAATACTAACATTTTCATTGTTTTCCATTCTGTTTTTATTGGGCCTCTCGGGAATGTAAGGAGGTATAAAGATGTTTAAGTGTAATGAGAAGTGCTCAGGAGTATTTTGGAAATGAAACTCTTTGGGAGGTACATGATGCAGTTTTTGAATGTTTGGAGGGCTTTTTAATTAAAAAAAGAAAACAAACCCCAAAACTGAAATCTGGAAGAAGTTAGGATTTTGCTATTAGATTAGAGAGCAGCCACAAAGTGGTAGAATTGAGGGGGCAGTAATTTCCAGTGATGTGGAAAACAATTGCTAATTGTAAGTTTGTATTAATGTTACACAAACATCACGTGTTTTTATTGAAGTAAAAGAAGTCAGCTATAACACCTAAGCGCTAGCACTTGAGAGATACCTGATTTTTGGTAGCTTTGTCCTGATCTTTTGAAGTTGTGATTCTTCTCATAAAAGTATATTCTGGAAAATTCTTTATTAAGTATTCCTTTGATTGAGGAAAAGCATTCATATTTTAGAGGAAAAATAGCATGCCATTAAGGCTACTTTTGAGGGTTCTTACTGTAACATGCATAACTTAAGGCAATTAACTTGGACATTGGTGTTGAAAACAGGATGTGCGTCTGTACTCCCAGGGAGATGCAGTCTATTTTACAACTATGAAAAACATGTTGCAGTCAGGAAGCTCTTTGCTGTCTTAATGACAACTAATGGCAGATGTAATCCCTGTGTGAAGTGTTAGGATGATTATCTGTTGTCTATTTCACACAGTATTTTGTTTTTATAGTAAGTAACCTCTTTTAATTACTTTCCAACAGTTCAGCCTTTACATCAGACAGACATAGGAAAAGAAAACTCTTGGAAAACTCATCTCTGAACAGCAAATTATTAAAAGTAAATGTAAGTATGACAGATTGGTTACAGTGAGTGTACGGGGGTTGTTTTTTTTACACCTATTGAGGCTTAGAGTTGGCCTGGACTTGAAATCAGCATGATCAGTTATGTGAATTGTGCTTGTGCACTTCATCTGTCTCATCTCCTGACCATGCACCTAGAAGAACCCCTTCTCACAATAGGATGTTTGGTATTTTGCTGCATTTATGTTGACCTGTACGTTGAACTTTGCTGTGCTTAAGGAGGGTTTCATGTCAATTTGGAGCTTCAGGGCAGTTTGAACTTGCTGGGATCATTGGAATCAGAAGGGGCTAGACATAAGACTTTTCTGAGCAGACAAGGGGCTTTTCCTTTGCCTTCTGCACTGTTAACGAAAAAAAGCAGGTGCACAGTCTTTAAGGGGACAGGAGAGCAGTGGCTGGGGGAAAATGAAAAAAAAAGTTTTTTTTCAAGAGCTTTTTAAAACTTGCTTTCAAAAGGAAGCGTGGGCTATTCTGAAAGCTTTTCTCTCTCGTCTTCCTGTTCTAACTTCAGATCTGCAGAATACCACCCACTAGAGAATGATCCACCCTTGCTAGATAGCTGAAGGGGGCTGCATAGTTTCTCCAGACAAAGAGTGTCCCAAACCAAATGTGTGTTCTCCACAGTTTGGAATGAGGGAGTTTCAAATCTTCATAATTTCTCCCAGATTGTAGGAGAGTGAGAGGGGAGATACTGTATGCAACTGCTTCCTTTCACTTCCTTCTCTGCTGGGAGGAGCGGTAGAGCAGAGCTGTGCCTCCCTGGGGCTGCAGGACAGCAACGTAGTCAAAGGGTAAAGCTGAAGTAATAGCTGTCTTCACCTATGAGAAACAAGTACCTAATTACAAAGAAGAGTTCTTGAGAGGAGTATAAATGGAAATAAGAGGGTGTGGTGGGAGCAAAGCAGTTGCTGGTTTACAAAGTTGAGGGAGGGAGTGATGAGTTACTTTAAGAATGCACTTCCTACAGTCAATCTGGGGCCCTGTGGTTGTGCTGTGTATGCTTCCTGTACTGCCCCAATCCTGGGGTGACTGAGGAAGCCTGGGAGAAATAGTGGAGCATTTTTTGCTATAGCAACACACAGCAGCATCGTGTAGAAAACTCAAAGCCAGTAAAAACCAGGAGGAAAATTCTAGGCAACGTTTACATAGGAAGAAGACAAAACTAGAAATCATGAACTTAATGTTACTTTATTCCTCTTGGTCTGTGCTGTTTTCTTAATTTTATTAATACTTGAGTATTACCCATTGCAGCAGAGGATGTTTTTATTGTTGGCACCCTGCATCCTTCTATAGACAAAACTTTGTCCAAAACTTTGAACTTCCAATGTGATAATTTTGTAGACAAGGGAATGTGTCCAAGTGTTGTGGATTCTAGAAATCATAAGTGCAACACTGTCCAGATTTCTCTTCCCTCTTCTCCCAGCCCACCTTGAAGATTATTTGGCAAAAAGGAAGCTCATCTGAGCATAGCATTGCTCTAACCTGTTGAAACTTCTAGACTGTAAATGGTGTGTATTTTGCTTCTCTTTATCACATTGCTTTTTTCATTGCACAGTCTAACTTGACTGTTTCTTTCCCAAACAATTTCTGTTGCCTGTCTTTCACAAACCCTCCTGGCCACCACAAAACCCAACCAAGACAGCTGGTGACTTAAAAGCAACCTGCAGGCTGCCACACTGTGCATATTGTACATGGGGTTAGATAGATGAGGACTGGTATTTTCATTTTTCAAAGGCACTCCTGGGAAATTGCTGTCCAGTTCTCACTGAACATTACTGGAGTGTGAATGTATAACATACACAAATACTTGGAACAAAAGCCTCTGTTGTCCTATTCTAGAATTATTTGCACAAGAAAAGATGTAGTATAGTTTTGTGTTGACAGGAGTGAGTAAGAAACGGGTTTCACATCAAGATGGAGCTTCAAGGCAGTTTGAGCTGGTGAGGTGGTTGCTTTGGCTTTGAAACTGCACTTCTCAAACAGTGTAGTTTATTACTGTTGAAATCTGTGCTGATGTAACAGTAATAGCTTTGTGGGGAGGAAGTGGGGGGAGCAGTGATAAGTCTGTCTTTAACTTCACCATTCTCCTTTCCAGGGAAGCACCACTGCCCTTTGTGCCACAGGCCTTCGGAACCTGGGGAATACATGTTTCATGAATGCAATCCTTCAGTCACTCAGGTAGCTCCAAAGCTTTCCCCACACCTCTGTGAGAGTGCTTGTGTGCTGTAGCATTGGGCCAGTGAATTAGGCACGTTACCACTGTATGAAAGTATACACCTGGATTTGCAGGAACGGGTGGGTGCAGGTACCATAAAGTTGTGTTTCGCAGCGTGAGGGACTTCCAGAGGAAGCCTGCCGTATCCTCAGTGGAAAAGCAGACTGCCCTTTTATTCCTGAGGCTGATGAAACACGTTGATGGTTATGGACACTGTGAAAGCAGAGACAGTGCTTTGAGGGATGGGGGTCTTCATGGAAGTGTGTAGGAGAACAGTTTCTGCAGTGCTGAGATGTGAGACTTCATTTCGCTGTTGCCAAGACCGCTGCTGCTCTGTAGTTGTCCTTTTGCATTTCTGAGTTTGCCTGCTTCACTGGGAAGCTACTGATCAGACTGTAGCAAGACTAGTTGGTCTCCATTTCCTTTTCCTTCTCAGGAGTTCGGGCACTTGCTTCTTATGGGGCAAGTCTATTATGGGGACTGGTAGCAGAGAATAGAAGTGATAGGTGGAGGCAGACACAGAGTTAACTCAGCAGATGCAGTCCGCTTTGTTAGGAAAAGCCTTCTGATACCTCAATCTGTTGTGGTATGTCTTAGTCAAAGCAGAGCCAAAACGTAATTATTTCAGGTAGTTGGGATGATGATGATAGTTACAGAAGCTGAATATTTGTTTCAGTATTTCTTGTATCTTGAACTGATTGCATTGTCTCTATCACTGTATGAAGTTGTGTTTGTGCATTTCAAAGAACAGACTCCAGAATCCTTAATGTTCTCTTTATTCCCTGCCCTTAAAGGATTTAATTTATTTTTTCTTTTTCTGTAGTAACATTCAACAGTTCTGCTGTTACTTCAAAGAGTTGCCTGCTGTGGAGCTGAGGAATGGGAAGACTGCAGGCAGGCGAACTTACCACACCAGGAGCCAGGGGGATAACAATGTGTAAGCTTCATGTTCCTTTTAGCACTGAACTTGAATGGAAAACAGCAAATGCTTGGGCAGCAGAGCCACTGTAGGCTTTCAGTGTTGCAGAGTCATAGAAAAATGATTCATGGGGGAACAGAGTCATAGAAAAATAGTTGATTGTGCCAACAAAGAAACCTGTATCACTTGCAGTTTGCTTTTATAGAAGTCTGCTGCTGCCGAGGGGCAGATACAAGTGCATTTAAAGTACGGTTAAGAAGTGCTAGTTAAATGTGCTCCAGACATGATGTTACTTAATTCCAGCTGAAGTAGTCATGGGGATGTCTCTGCATGTGAACGTATTACCAGAAAAAATAAAAATCAGTGTAAGTGATTCACAGTTGTAGCTTGTTTGAGCACATGTTAAAGGGACAATGTTAGCAGAGTCTCCAGTAAAATGGCAAAATGTGGATAGATTTCCAGGTGAGTCGTCAAGATCTGAAATGTAATTTTCCTGACCCGTGTCTCTCCTCAACATTACAGGTAGGATTTTTGGACATAAAATCTTTGAAGTACCTGAAAGGATATTTACCCAATCATTACAATCTTATCCGAAGTAATGTAGTGTTGAGCTAGTAGACCTGTAAGTGTTATAACACAAACTCATACTAATCACCAGCTTTTACTTTCTTTCAAGTTCATTGGTGGAAGAATTCAGAAAGACGCTCTGTGCTTTATGGCAAGGAAGCCAAACTGCATTTAGTCCAGAGTCTTTATTCTACGTTGTTTGGAAAATCATGCCAAATTTTAGGTAAGTTTTATGAAGAGCAGCAATGTTCTTGGTTGCATCCTTGCATTGCTGGTATACTACTCTAAAATGTGCTGAGTCTGCAGGATGTGCTTTGCAGCTTTCCCATATGCCCACAAACATGCTTTGAAAAGGATCTTCATTTTGATCAAGTTTTGTGCTTTCCCCCCCCTGCCCGCCTATCACATGCTACATTGTCGGAGAGGAAAAACATCTCAAATACTAAAATAATAGTAGTTGTACCTTTGAGCCACTGCTTCAAAGGGCAGAGGAATCAAGATAATGACTTGCCAAGTGGATGGTGTTGACAATGCAAGCTTGGTTGCAATAAGAAAGTGATGTAGTGTCGTGCCCAGGACATGTAGTTAGATTTAAAAAGTTACAGCACCTACAGGCCTAAATATAAATGTACTGGCTGAAACTTCCTTGATTCTCTCAAAATACCGTAGTCACCAGCTAGACATGAAATAAGGGCTGTAAGAAAAAAAATCTTGTGAATAATAGACGTTTTGTGCCCTTAATGACAAGCAAGACGATAGAAAGGGAACAAGGCGGTTACCCAAGTAAATCGAAGTATCGTTCCTCTCCAAGGTCTCCCTGTCCTGGCCCCTGAACCTCTTTCAAAGGAGCACTGAAACCTGTTAGGATATATTGTGATGAAGGTAAGTTGCTCCATGTTCTCAGGTAGTAAAGATGTTCTGTTATCTGTTACATCTCCAGCAGTGCTGAAAAGATGCTGTGAAAACATGTGCTCATTAAGTAACCCAAATAACACAAACCTATTTATTTTCTCTTCCACACTGCCAAATACGTTCCACTTGGCTAATGAGAATCAAGGAAGTTTAATACCAGTAGTTGCAAGCAGCAACCAAAATATTATAGGCAAATGAACATCATCCGTAATGTCCTTGACCAGACTCCCTATTACAGTCTTCACTCTAATTCTTGTTAGACTAAGTGAGAAACCAGTTCATTAAAGTTCCTCAAGCAAATTTTCAGCACTGTGGGTTCTGTCACAGCTTTTAAAGTAAAAAGTTGGGGTTTTCCCCCTTCCCTTTTTATTCCCAGTTATCTTGGAGCATGTCCATGATTAATTGATAAGAGAACTCATTTAATCACAGGGACAATAGACTCTGCTGTTCAGGAGATCCTTGCTCCCACATGATCCAGGGAGAAAATTTGCATTTGTTCAGTGCCTTGTAAAGCTAATGATGGCACTGTAATAGTTCTAGCGTGAGTGCCTCCTTTGAGACTGGGAGAAGGTGGGTGGACATACATGTGAAGACAAGCCAGAGCCAGCAGTGTGGTGTGTAAACACAAACCCAGCCACACTGGCTTGTGCTTATGAAGCCTGAAGTGATAGGTCAGGGGGAGGAAATGTTTAATTGTTTTAGCTTAAAGAGATTTCAGTTGTTAGAGGCAGGTCATGCTTGCCTCTGAGGGTTGCAAAGGGCTGCTCTTCTTACAGGTTATAGAAATGGGCCTCTGCCATTGCACACAGGGAACAGAGAGTATGATGTATAGTTACGATAAACACAACTGGAGTGCCTCTGAGCTCTAATGCTGCTGTGGAAGTCCTGCTTCTTGACTGTTGGCCAAAGTCTGCTGCTGTCATCTGCTGCATGCCAAGATTGTTGTGTAGCCTCATGTGGAGCTGCAAGATGTGTATTTTGCAGATTTACTGCTGTATAAACAGTGTGCTCTATTTTCATAGTAACTGTTCCTGTTTATATCCTATCTTGTTACTAGTAGGAAAAGGAATGTCAGAGGTGGGCTTGAATTGAGTTGCTTCAGGTGGATGGAGATGAGTTTTATTACACAAGCTGACTGTCAGAGAAACGATGCTTTTTGCTGAAGGGCTTTTAAGATCATAGTTTATTTTAAACAGTGCATTGTCCATATCTTCATGTTCTTTTAAAGACCTGTATCTATACTTAGGCTTTTTAAGAAATCCAAAGAATTTTTCATCTACAATTAACGTACTTGTATGCAAGTACAAACACATGCACCAGGAGCACAGCCAACATGGAATGATTCCAGAGGTTAGTTCATCAAATTTGTTGCAGAGCAAGTATGCCATGTACTTCAGAGCTCTTTTATGAGGAGTTTAATGTTGAGAAGGTGTCTGAAGCAAAGACTTCCCATAAATTTCATCTTCAGCTGTTGTAATTATTGTTTATTAAATAGAAGATACCTGTCTTATATTCAGTCAATAATCCTGTGTTACCTCAGCAACTTCAAAATGAGTGTGTACAGTTAACATGCAGCTTTGAAGTTGAGTTCTGGTTTACTACTTTGTTTCATAATACCATATAATTATTATGTGACTGGGAGACTAAGCCACTCCTGGCTTTGGCTGTTCAGGACTCTGGCCTGTTGGAGCACAACAGTGTTTCTGTGTAAAAGTATCAGTGCTGCTGGTACTTTTCAGGGTTCTGTCAGATCAAACAAACTCAATGAGTTCTTTTAGAGCTGCTAGTTTGGAAGAAAATGTTACTGTAATTTTACAAGAGGAAAAGGCTTTATTTCATTACCTCCTAGCAATACTATTGCGGGACATAACTGTGTGTGTTCTTCACTACGCGTGTCAGCCTCAAGTTGCATGCTTCTGTTGCGCCAAATCTATTCTCATTTCTCTCCAACTCTGAGTACTGTGTCATGAGTGTTACGGACACTTTCCCTCCCCTGAGCAGTAGCATTAAAAACATCTCTGGTGTTCTTTCCCAGACATTCCTAGGTGACAGTTATTGCCAGTACTTACATGGAGTAGTGAGGAGGGAAAGGGGCAGGGGAGGCACGGTGAAACAGCTTCAAAGAATGGATAAGAGGAAGCGGGGAAAGCCAACTCTACTATGTAGGCATTTTTGGAACTAAGGCCTATAATGACTTGCACATCTTCACATAATAATTCCAACAGTGGAAGCTTCCACTGTTTCACTGTCTGTGCTTTCCTGCTTCAGCTCAGTATACATCTTAGAGCAGTTGGTTGGTAAATTTGATGCATGATTTAGCTTAAATAACTTTGAAGGCATATTTTACCCTAACAGATTCTCTGTTCCTTTTTATTAGGTTAGCTAGTGGTGAAGTAATAATGGTGACTCTGAGCAGCATTGCTGCTGATAGCATGACATGTGTGTCTGGAGGCCTGTCCCACCTGATCCAAATGCCCAAGAGACGTCCTGGGTACCCCCCACCATTACCTCCTTCTCCCAACAAACGGTGTATGGGTTATGCAGAGGAGGTGTGTAGTTCTGAGCATGGCTATAGATCTCACCCTAGAAGAGGAAAGAAATCTCTCATCCTAATTATTTCAGACTTCAGTTGTTGTTGAAAGATGCCTGTGCAAAACAAACCCAAAGATTAAAATTCCAGGCTTCGATGGGGAGGGAACAAACAGGCCAGCAAACATCTGGACCTGCCAAAGAGGATGGGATCAGTGGCTGAGTGAAAACCACCCTGCAATACTGACTCTCAATCCCTTGTGAACAATACGTTCTGTGGTGTCTTTCCTTTAAGTCTTGCCAGGTTTGAGATTTCAATCTATTGACCATACTTTATAGTAGTTTGAAAGTAGGGATGAATACTGTGCTGTCTGAATGTGATTAGTAACAATTCTGCAGAGGTTACTCATTAAATATAGTCAATAACAAAAGGAGAAATGCTTTGAATGAGGGGAAGGTTCCCACTGTGTACTTAGAGCTAGTGTGTACATGAGACCTCGGATGTTACTAGCACCGGCTGAGTTTGGTGGGGCCAGTTAATATGGCAGCTACATAAAGCAAATGTGTGAGCAAATGTTACGTCTCTGCTGCTCCCTGTTGTTTTCTAAGAGGTCTCTTCCTAGCTAAAATGTCTATTCTTAAATGCTTCTCCATCCTCACAAAGAGGCATGCAGAGGGTGAGTGAGCTGCAAGGACCAAAACTGTGTCATTTAGACGTTGCTGTACCTTTCCAAAGGCTTCCTGGAGAACTATCCTTGGTACAAAATAAGTCTGTCTCTATAAAGTCTGGTCAGTATTGTCAAACCAGCAAAGGTTCTTGCCGGTGACCCCGGTGTTCTCACTAAAGCAACCTGTACATTTGGTGATTGTGTTGCTTTTGTTTCCTTTTCTCTTAAGGGGATATCAGCAACAGGATGCCCACGAGTTCATGCGTTACCTTTTGGACCATCTACACCTGGAACTCCAGGGTGGCTTCAATGGCGTCTCACGTTCAGTAATTCTGCAAGAGAACTCCAGCCTGGCTGCGAGCAACAAGTGTTCCATGTGAGAAGTGTTATGTTTTTCCTGATTGTCTTCCAAACCGTAATGCCTTTGTGTGTGTCTGTGTGTGGTGGAGCTGAAATTTCAAATTCGGGGTTCCTTGTGAAGTTTTCTTTAGTGCCTCTGTCATGTTCCCAGTTACAAAGCTGCAGGTCTGAAGGATTAGCATCCTGTAGGAAATGTCTTACAGCAGCTTTTGTCAGGGGTGCGAGTGATCACACAGGCTAAGCTGTAAACACAGTTTAATTCATTAGTAATGGGAAGTCAGATTTTCAAGTTACTGTGTGTCTTGAAACAGAGGTAATCCATGTGTTTCACTCCTCTTTCTGTACTTCTCAAAATCCTGTTGTTTCTCTCTTCTGTCCTAGGTGTGTGTTCTCTCAGATTGAAACTGTCATAGAGAGAAAGCATTTTACTTCGTTTCAGGAAGGAACATTAAGTCAGTTCAGCCTGCACGCTAGGTCCCTGAACCCTTGGGTTCCCTATGTTAAGAGCTGAGTGAGTTTCCCCTTCCTACACCCATCAGGACACAGTAAGCAGGTCTGAGAGATGCAGGATTTTATGGATGCTTCATTAAGAAAAGCCTAGAGTTCAGACTGTGCTCTTCACCACATGGATGTTGCTGTGCTGGTGTTTAAAAATCCCACAAAATAATCTTAAAATAGTCTTACAGTTGATGTGCATTTGAAAACAAAACCAATTGTTTTGTCAAAGTCAACCCAAGGAGAATTTAAACTTTGTTCAAGTACTTACTGTAAATCTGTCTTGAGAAGAGCTGTTCAAATGCATAGTGGGGTGGAGTTAGTTGCCTTCTGTGGAGGACAGATGAAGGTCATGTATGCTTAAATGTCTACTGTAAAGAAATAAATCCACTGTGAATGCTCTCACTGGTTTATTTGGGTAGCCAGGTCCTTCGGCTCAACTACAGCGTTTAACTGTAAAGGTGTACATGGCATGCAGATAAGGACCACAGGTTGTTGCAGGCCTCTGTCAGAGCTACAAGTGCAAACTAGCAAGTTTAGGAGATGTATAATAATGTAACTGAAAATTTATTTGTTTTAGTTGGACTATGAGAAGCCAGTTCATGACACAATCTGCTAAAAAGATTGAGTAATGAAAGCAGAGAATGATGGTGATGATGCATAATAATCATTCGTTAATGCCACTTAAGCCATCTGTTGCAGTGAAGTGCAGAAATATGCTTTAGGAAATCAAAATTACTTGTAACAAAGGGTGTAGAATTAAAACAAAAATATGCTTTGCCTACCTAAGAGGGAAGCATCTTTGTTTCAGAAACATCCATAATTAGTGTCCCTCTGTGAGCATCAACTCTCCCCTGCAGAAATACAGTCGACCCAGGTACCTCCAACACTGAAATTTTGAGCATCTGCTTTTGAGCATGAGCAGTTCACACTTTTGTTAGGTACAAGGTAAAGCAGAAGTATCAGTGCAGCTAAATACTTGCACAGTACAGCTGTGGGGTGGGTGAAATCCCGAGTGGATGAACTCGGTCTCTGTGTTTATACACGTGGAGAAAATGGCTCTGCCTAGTAGTGGTGAGTTGTAAGCAGTAAATGTGGAACAGGCACTGAAAATGGAGCTCAGGCATTCTGACTGACTTCCTCTCCCTGCTGTGGTTTGTCTAGAAATGGAGCATCTACTGTTGTCACAGCAATTTTTGGAGGCATTCTTCAAAATGAAGTCAACTGCCTAATATGTGGGACTGAATCTAGAAAGTTTGATCCATTCCTAGGTAAGGTGCCTCTTGCTTTCAAAATACCAGGCGACTTCAAGCAGAAAAACAGATCTGAAGTTTGGTACATTTAGATGTCACGTGACTGAACCAGAATTTAGTCTGAAGAGACTAGGCTCTGATTTCTAATCTCTTTTTTCTAGACCTTTCGCTAGATATTCCAAGTCAGTTCAGAAATAAACGTACTAAAAATCAAGACGGCGGACCAATGTGCACGCTACGAGGTAGGGGTGCTTGCATGATGAAATCGGGACTGAGAGCATGTGCTCTTCAGAGCATCTGTTTCCAAGGAGCCAGGCTTTCACTGAGGGGGGACTTGGTGCCACCTCATTTTATGAGATGCTGTGGCAGAAGGTGGTGAGACAATTTTGGGTGCAGGTTTTTCCCCAGTCACTGTGTACTGCTATGATAAACTGGGGCTCAGAAGTGCTTCAGGAGGCCAGCTGAGCGTCAAGGAGGCTTCCAGCAGAAGGGGCTTTGGTGGCCAAGAGTGTTTCTAATGTATTCCAGTCTTCCCCCAGCTGCCTTGTTGCCTACTGGCACTTGCTATGGCTCTGTGCTCAGAAGTACGTGCCCCTGCAATCATCATAAGGATGAACTCTTGGCTGTTGTGCTTTTTAAACAACATAAATTCAATCCTGAAAAGCTGGGCAGAAGTGCTGTTACTGACCTTGGTTTGAAGGATGCTAATTTCTACAGATGTGTGAATATATGTGCTACAGATTGTGGCATATTAATCAAAACCCCATGATTTTCTGTTCAGTTTGTACCTAAAACCAAATCTCCTTTAAGGGTGAATACTCTTTGTTAGAAAGTCCTTTATTGTGCTGAATGTCGGATGGAATCTTGTTTGAAAGATGGAGATTTTTTGAATGCTTTTTTTTCTCTTGAACTGCTTATAGCTGTGTTTTCAGGACAGGGATTGCAGCATGTTACAACGTGTTAATATATTAAAGCATGATTGCACAGCTTATCGCTACGCAGATGTGTATAATAACTAGAATGACTGCAGCAATTGTATTTCGTATTACAAAAAATCATGTGATGTCATCTTGAATTAGGTTTCTTCGTGTGGGTGTTTTGTGAATCTTGTTCTTTTTTAGATTGTCTTCGCAGTTTTACAGACCTGGAAGAACTTGATGAGACAGAGCTGTATATGTGTCACAAATGCAAAAAGAAACAGAAGTCCACCAAAAAATTCTGGATTCAGAAACTACCAAAGGTTTGTATAAGTATGAAAAGTAACTGTGTGACAATATGTCAAAGGAAATAAAACCTCAGCTGTTAGTACACCGATGCCTAACGCTCTCATAGGTTAGTGCAGACGTTGAGCACTGAGTTCAACCTCTTCCTCTAATGCATCCTTTTTTCTTTGATCCTATAGGTGCTATGCTTACACTTGAAACGATTTCACTGGACAGCATATCTGAGAAACAAGGTTGATACATATGTTGAGTTTCCCTTACGAGGCCTAGACATGAAATGCTACTTGTTAGAGGTATGAAGACTCACCGATACTTTCTGTTGAAAGTTGTTCCACGAGACATGTCTGTATTACACATTATAGTAGGTGCTAGTGAGATTTGAAGAGCTTTCCGTCTTTTTAACTGCAGCCTGAAAACAGTGGTCCAGAAAGCTGCCTGTACGACCTTGTGGCTGTTGTGGTGCATCATGGTTCAGGGTGAGTACATGGAGTAAGCCTGCTTCTTGGCAGAGACATTCTCCTCACTTGAAGTACACACAGACTTAGTGAAGGTTTTTCTGTCCTTGGTGAAGGTCTGCATTTTTACTGGTGGAAAAGGAAGTAATTTATAGACTTACATGGCCCTAAGGTGAATTAACTTCAGCGAGATCTATATAACTATTCCCATGGATGCCCACAGGCAGTCCTGGGAGGGGTGACCAGAAGTGTGAGACAGAAAGAAAACAGTCTAGTTCCTTTACGAGTGGAAAGCACTAAACCACCAGTGTGAAGCAAGGGGCCTTCCAGAAGTTAATGCCTCATTTTGAAATTCTTAGCACAAAGCAGAAATACCTTTTCCTCTTTATTCACTTTGGAACAACTGTAGCCTTAAAGATCGCCAGAGTGGAAGTGATTATCCTGTATGACTTCTCTCCTATAGGAGTGAACGCCAGCAGGCGTGCTCCGGGGCTGGGTGGTAAACTTACTTGGTGTGGTTGGTTTGAGTGATGTTTTTCCTTTTCCCAGCCCTGGGCAGATCTGCTGAGAGTAACAGTAGTAGAGACAAGAGAACTGTTTATCCTGTAAGAAATGTGTTCTTGTTGTTTAGGAAGTGCTTTATGGGTGTGAGCTTTGGGAAGAGTTTTCTTAAAGATACTAAACTCCATTATTCAAAACCTTGCTGATACCTGAATTTAATTCAAAGGTACTAACCCGAAAGCTCTGTCCAGGAAGCCCCTCCTTCTGCTTTCTCTAGAGGAACAGTCTGGACTCTTACAAAGTTTTCACTACTAAAGGCAGCCTCTGTAGCATGACTGTCCATCTGACTGGTGCTTCCAAGTCCTAGGAGAACTATATGGACAGTAAAGGAGAGCAGGGTGTGATAAGAATGGAATTAGATTGATTAATATTGAGCATGTGTTATAACCTGTAAGCAAGCTAAAGTGGGCCTTATGCTGGGGTGGCAGGGTAAGGAAAATTAGTGGGTTTGGAGCTCTGCTATGTTAGATTCAAACTGTTAAAGATGAACTTGAGAAATTTTCTCCTTGGTGTTCTGGGACCAGTTTTGCTGCAAGCGCTTTTGATTATATTGGACTATGTGAGTCTCTCTAGACCTAAATGGGGAAGGTTCCTGAAAGTTGAGCGTAGTGGAATTTTTATAGCTAATGCTTGAATAGTAACAGATTATATAGACTTGATGTTCGCGTAGGCAAACGTGGATGTTCAAGGTTGTAAGAAACTTTGCTTGCACAAAAACTGCGGGGGGCTCGTAAGTTCTTGTAAACTCCCCCTTTCAGCTCATCCCAGTGAGTAATTATTTTACTTATCATAAAACTTTACTTTGGAGAACTTTGAGCCCCACAGAGTAAGAAGGGAAGCATCTCCCCAGCTGTTGTGGAGAGCTGCCAGTTCCTCTGGCTGGTGGGAGGCTCTTAGCCCCAGCAGCAGAAGCATCAGAGGATGAGGTGGTGTCTCCTCCTGACTATCCTTTCTTTCCCCGCTCCCGCGTTGGCAGCGTTGGCTCTGGACACTACACCGCGTACGCAGCCCACGAAGGCCGTTGGTTCCATTTCAACGACAGTACTGTAACCTTGACCGACGAGGAGACTGTGGTAAAAGCCAAGGCCTACATCCTCTTCTATGTGGAACGGCAAGCCAAATCTGGATCAGACAAACTTTAATACCTCCTTTTAATTCTTACTTATCAAGTCCACCGGACAAAACATTTCCATTTTTCCATAAATACTTGATCCAAGACTATTAATTTCATTGTGCACTTTCCAATTTCCTCTCGTGGGTTTTAGTTTTGTTGTGTCAATGGTAGCATTCGACTTAACTCGGACACAGACTAACTTTTTTTTAGTTATACCAGAAAACCTCAGCAGATTTTGATTTGCTGCTTTAGTTGCGATAACTCGATTTTTATATATATAGTTTCATGAAATAGTTATTTGACTTTTTTATATTAATGTTTTCAGTTCTCACTTTCTAAAGGCACATTTACATCAGAGAAGCTTTCTGTCCTCCTTGCAAGCAAGATAAATGTACTTCTGATTATGAAAAGCAATACAACTTCATGCTGTTCTTACAGCTGTTATGTAGATATGATTTAATCTCTTTAAATCAAAGAATTGTTTGCACGTACTATCTTCCCTCGTGCAAGAAACTAAATGATGACCTCTGAACAATCCATTGTCTGCTGAAGAGAGGAGATGTGGCATCATTAGATAGACCAGGTAATTGCTGCTATATTGGTGTGTGTTCAGGCTGCTGACTTTCAGGAATCATTGTAAATAAACAGTTGGTTCAATCGTATCAATACCGCAGTTTAATTCAAGTATTCCTCACCTATGATCTGCCCTCCCCCCTGCAAATTTAAAAAAAATTACCTTAAAAATATATATACCTGTCTAAATTGTGTTGAGACTTATGTTGTTTTAACCAGACCTCAATGCCTTAGACTGCCATCCTGGAATTTGATCATGAAAACTTACTTGCTTGAAAACTGGGGGTACAGCCCTAGCATTTGGGCTTTGCGAGAACAGTCTTAGGTCTAAACATAGCCCCTGTTTTACATTTGCCTGCAGTTCAGTTAAAACTGGAAGGGAGACCATGGTGGTGTAGATGCTCTGTGTGACAATTGTTTTGTCAGTTCACATGCAAACTAGGGAGGCTGCTCAGTGTCACAGCTTGGCTGTAGCCTGCCCAAGGGGAGATAGTGAGGCAAGACTGCTGCTTGACTGCAGCTGTAGTGATTACACATTGGCCCAGTCTGGGATCTTATTTACGGTCTCTAGACCAACACCAGAGCTGTGACACAGTCTCTAAACGTGGCTATGTAATGGAGAAAGGTTTCTGTTCCTTGTATGGGTTACCTGCTAGCTGTACACGGACATGTATAAAGAGAAATCACCATCAGGTGGTTTTTTAAATGCTGTTCTTTTGTAGCTTTGTCACAGAGTCTTAAACCAGGCAAGAGAGAAACTGGCTTGACAAAACTACAGGCAGCGTTCAGCATTGCTAATGGTGGACGAAGATGTAAAGTGGAGCCTAGTTAAAACCCATAGTGATTATTATTTGATACATTGTGACATACATAAGGATGTCTTCTTTTACTTAAGCTCAACAATAAATAGAACTGTTTGTTACTTTCAGTTGCAGGTAGTTTGTCACCCTTTCTCCATTCCTTGCAGCCAGAGCCTTTCGTCTCGCCAGAATAGGTAGCTGTCACACAGGCAGAATTTGACAGATCTCAGTGGTGTATGGGGTAAGCCAAGTATCTCACCCGTATCATCACCCTGAAGGGCCTTACTGCTCACAGTTAGCTGGGGAGTTAAGTAGGTTCCATCTATAGGCGTGTTTTGTCTGTGTGCTACTTGGACTTCTTTCCTTTAGAAGTTTAGTTTTGAGAACACAAAGCTTAAATGATACAACTAGTGCTGGGCCAGCAGCAGTTTCACATACAGGTGGTGTTCTCACAAACCAGTGATGTAAATGTGCCTTTCTGTACTTTTAGAACATTAAATCTGTAATATTGAGCAACATTCACTTATTTTAAGCAGCTTCTACTTCTCCAGTTAATCTTTTTGGGTCAGATTCTGTTCTCACTTCCATGTTTCCTTTCAGTACCATTCGCTCTGTAAGCGTCAAGGTCTCGGGCAGGGCTCTCTGCCCAGCACGGTCCCTTTGGGAACACAGCGCGATCCCATCAGGCTTGTTCTGCAGCAGGTGGTGGTGAGGACTCAGCCATATCCTTTGCTGGAACAAGCACACTGTAAACCCTTTCCTAATTTAACTTTCTCCCACTGCAAACCCAGATGGACAATATGAACAGTTTGTTGTGGCAACACAAGTATTTCTCTTCCTGGTGGAGAACTTTGCTTATCCACTGTATTCTATTCAGTGTGGTGTCAAAAAACAAAAAAGGAAAAAAAAAAAGGCAACTGAGCACTGAACCAGTAACACGTCCTGCACCTGGCCTCCTGTCACGTTTTTAACCTGACTTGTATAGCCTATATTTATCTACTAGCTTGGGGAAGGGGATACCTCATTTCATTTAAGCCAAATGTTTCTTTTCTACTTACTGCTGATCATAGTATACACTAACCGGCAAGAAGTTATTTTTCTTGCCTGTGACGGCTCTGCAAGCCACAGCTGCTCTCTGCAGTTCCAAGGCTTGCGCATTTCTCACCAAAATCTGTCTGATCAACGCTTGTCCTCTTGTTAGTAATTGTTTAGCCACGTATGCAACTGGAGACAAAAGAGTTATGCAAAACAACCTGCAACACGTGCGGCTCACGGAATACTTCTGCTTTAGCATGTTGTAGAGTGAGCTGTTGAGTGCAGCATTGTGTGAAACTCTTCAAGGCACTTGCGAGCAGAGCTCCTTCTCCCTGTACAGTCAGAAGGGCTTTCCAGGTGGGAACAGATGTCAGCCTGAGGAGAGTTGAAAACTTTCGGACAGGCAGGGACAGTGGATGTAAAAGTGGCCTCCTGCTTTTGATACAAGGGTTTTACAGTGGAAAGTAAGTGTAACACGTGGTGGTCAAAGGTTTCCCCAGCGATGTTTCAGTACTGATGTGTCTGTGTCTTACTGATGAGGGAATCGGCACTTTGAAAAGTGATTCCAATGTGCTTTAGGATATCCTCAAGTACTGTAGTGCCATAGTTGTAATTGTTTACCATTAAAATCTAGTGTGTAATATTCAGTGAGGATTACTGACTGTGCTCATCTTGTGTGTTTCTGGAGCATTTCCAGGTTGAATGTGAATTATATCTCATTCACACAGTGTGTTTATGGAAAAATGTGCCATTAAAGTGTCTCCTTTCCTTAGACAATGAAACTCCTCTTGTCCTTCTACAGGCTTGTAGAATATCATCCGTGTAAATCCTCTTGAAACACAGGGGCTGGAGTTATTTTTACCTTGCTCTTGCAAAATAAAGCAAATTGAAGCATTCTCAATAGTTAACACTTCTACCAAAGCTCAGCATCTAAACCCAAAGGAGGACCTGCTGTTCAGTGTTATCCAGTGGTAAGCCTTGACATCCAACAGCTGTTGGTTTGTTTGCCAGACTATGGGCTGTGTCCTCTGTGTGGCAAGCGGCCGTCCTAGCAGTGGTAACCTTCTCATTCAAGTTTGCTTGTGTTGGGGTTTACACACACACAGATAGATAGATAGATAGATAGATAACGTCCATCTGTCTGTCTTTGTGTGGTGTGTATATATATATATATACACATAGAGGGTTAAGATACACACACACACACACATTTTTTATATACATATATATATATTTTCAACATTCTTGTGTGTATGACAACTCTGAGCAGCCTCAGCTATCTAAACCTGCTCAAAACTGAAGGTAAGTAAGTTCTGAGCAGGAAGGACAGCAACCCGCCAGCACGCCACAGAAACTGCTGCTGCTTCATGGAATCCTGTAATCACAGCTGCAGAGGTGCCATCTGTGAGTGCCTGTGGGTAGGCACAGCACTCATGCACAGGTAAGAAGTTGAAGTAATGGTTGCACACTGCAAACTGGTTTCAGATGTTTTGCAGAGTTGCATTTCTACCTGCATTCTGAAGGCAAGGCAGAAAAGGTGAGTTCTGTTCCCTGTTGCCCCTGTCATACACTGACGCAAACCCCATTAAAACACTGGGTACATAAATTCTCCCAGCTATGAAAACTGTGCAGGGGAACTTGAAAAATGCCTGCAGTGCTTTTCTGCTGTTATTATCTACTGAGGAGTTAATGTGTTCCCTTGTATTAACACCAGATGTCAGATGAGCGTAAGGTACCTCAGTCTCACATGGAAATCATAGGGCCACTCTTGGTTTTAATTCTAAACTGCCACTCGGTGTAGCCTTTCTCTCCTGGGAGAGCCGTTCTGCTACAGCCTCTCCCACTACTGAAACACTTTATCCTAACCCCAATCCTCTGTAGCGTTTTCCCACCACCACATCCAAGACTATAGCAACAGAACTAAAGCTGCAAAACCAAACACGACACAATAAACACTATATTCTTTGAGCTCATAGAGGACATTTATTAAAAGCAAAAGCCTCCACACAACCAAACACAGATCACAGGTGGGGAAATGGGTACCTCTGTGCCCATCTGCGTGTGCACACGCGTGCCTCTGTGCACAGCTCTGGCTCCAGGTCTCTGTGTGTGCATGTCCATCTGTCTATGAGTGTGTCTGTGTATCTGTCTATGTGTCTTTGTGTTGGTCCATCCTGGTGTCTGCGTGTCCATCTGTCTGTCCATGTGACCAACCGTCCATCTGTCTGGCTGTCCTGTCTGTTGGTCCTTGTGTCTGTCTGTCCATCTTTGTGCCTGTCCGTGTCCGTTTGTCCTTCCATCTGTCCGTCTTTGTGTCCATTTGTCCTTACATGTGTCCATCTTTGTGTCCATCTTTGTATCCGTTTGTCCTATTTTTCTGTCTATCTTTGTATGTTTGTCTGTGTCTCTCTGTCCGTCTGTCTGTCCTTCATTTGCCTTTGTGTCCATCTGTCCTTCTGTTTGTGTCCGTTTGTCCTTCCATTTATCCGTCTTTGTGTCTGTCTCTCCTTCCATCCACCTTTGTAGCTGTTTGTCCTTCCTTTTGTCCATCTGTCCATCTTTTTGTCCATCTGTCCTTCCATTTGTCCGTCTTTGTGTCTGTCTGTCCTTCTTTGTGTCTATCAGAGCTGTTTGTCCTTCCTTTTGTCCATCTGTCCTTCCATTTGTCCGTCCGTCTTTGTGCCTGCCTGTCCTTCTTTGTGTTTGTCTGTCCTTCTTTGTGTCTGCCTGTCCTTCTATATTCATCTGTCCATCTTTGTGTCCATCTATCAGTCTTTGCATCTGTCTGGCCTTCTGTTTGTCTTTATGTCCATCATCTGTCCATCTTTGTGTTCGTTTGCCTGTGTTGGTGTCCGTTTGTCTGTCTGTCCATCTTTGTGTCTGTCTTTGCATCCCTCTGTCAGTTTGGCTGTCTAGATTCATCTGTCCCTCTTTGCGTCCATCTGTCTTTGTGTCTGTCTGTCCACTGTTGTGTCCATCTGTCCATCTTTGTTCGCCTTTGTGTCAGTCTGTCCGTCTTTTCCTCTGTCTTTGTGTCTGTCTGTCCACTGTTGTGTCCATCTGTCCATCTTTGTTCGCCTTTGTGTCAGTCTGTCCATCTTTGCCTCTGTCCTTCTATTTGTCTTTGTGTCCGTCCGTCCTTCC